GTGTGGGTGTGGGTGTGGGTGTGGGTGTGGGTGGGTGTGAGTGTGGGTGTGGGTGTGGGTGTAGGCATTCTGTATCTCCAAAGCCTCACCCACACCGACGCCTGCACCCACATCCAGAGCTACAGCCGCACTCACACCCAGAGCCACAGCCACAGCCACACCCACACCCGTTTTCATGAAAGACAACTGTCGAAAAGAAGCGCAGATTTTGTCACAGTGAACTGGCAAAAAATATTGTCCTGGTCGGACTGACTTGACTTCTCGTTCGGTCCGGTGCTGAGAGCGGTGTAAAACGTTCAGTTATGAACTGACAAGCAGATTTTCTCTGGTTAAACAGATGTCTAATTTATTCGTGAATATATAAACAGTCTAGTTTATTTAATATAACGCAAATAATAAATTATTCAGAATAAAAATTCGAATCGATGGTAAACTCGTAATTTTGTCTAACTTGTCTAAAATTGCCATTTTGAAAATAGTTGTCTCGCTTGATCGATTGTTTTTACTTTGAATAATTCGAGAATTAATGTATCTTCCAATTTTGGAAGTGCACTCCATTTAAATTCTTTTCCACATCCTACACCTTTGGACTTTCTTTGGCTGCGATGTTGTATCAAATTTTGAAGGAAACTTCGAGTGGTTCGTCGTATCTGACTGATAGGTTGTGTGAACGGTGTTCGAGCAGTTTCTATAACATTTTCTTCGAAAGTTGCAGCCTCTTCATCAGAACAATTCTCCGCTGCTTCATTTTCTTCAAGAATATTTTCGCTTGCCGGATTTTTTATAAATATAAGTTTTCCGCCTATTCGTTCCAGTTGATATTTCCAAAAAGCTTTCTTACTCACGTCCTTACGACTTTCAAAGTCATTGTTTCCACAAAATGTTGATCCATCACAACCTTCTGTTTTAAACCAGATCAATTTGCAGTGTGGGCATCTTTTGATTAAATTTCTTGGATCTTGATTATCAGTTAAACTATAAGACATCCACGGTACAACTTTTTCAACAAATTCATCACAAATTTTCACATTTTCTTTCTCCATTTTAATAGAAAATGCGTAATAATCTAATTCGATCATTGTATTACCATGTTGTTGTTGAAATTCTTGTAATAACGTTTCCATTTCATCTTTGAATTTCACTATGGTCATATGTAAAATTTCATCTTTATCCTCAACGGATGCAGATTTAGCAGAGTTAATAAGATCTGTATATTCTTGCACAAGTAAATTTGCTCTTTTTCGATATTCTCCAAATGAAATTTTGATTCGATTCTTCATTTCATAAATGTTAAATTTAAAAAAAAAGTCCTCGTCCTTTATAACAAGTTTTTCATCCTTCATATTGGACATGCAACCATACATAAGATTTGCCACTTCGGCTTTACAATTTTGTTCGGAATAAAAGATCAAATTGGTGACACTTGGACATTCATCATGAAATAATCCACAAATTTCCTTGAAACTATTTTGCGGATTTTTAGATTGGTCCCAATGAGAAATCATGACAACAATTTTGCTACCATAGTTATAGACCGGTTGCTCGACTTCAAAATAATTTTCAATCATTTTATCAAATCGACTATCATACTTGATAACAATAAAAATTGTGTTAATTTTTGTTGCTGTCAATGCTTCTCTCAGTAAAAAAGCATGTTTGTATGTTTCAGTTGAACTATCAGTTCCAGGAGTATCAATTAGAGAAAATGTATATTCACCACAATTAACGTCATTACGATAAAGATTTCGAGTGATACTTCCTGCTCCTTCACCAGCTGCATGCTTTGTGCCACAAAGCGCATTAGTTAATGTCGTTTTTCCGGTTCCTGTTCTTCCCATAACAATGACGCATGGTTTATACGATAATTGCTTTGGACTTAATTGAAAGTGAAAGTCTATCTTGTTTGAATTATTGTAGTTCAATACTTTGTACAACACTATCATTCTGACAAAAAGACCGTTCCTTTTTTTTCATGTTTCTATCTGTCAATTGATACATAGAAAAA